CGCCTGCAAGATCCTTGAGACAATAATCTCAAGACAAATGACAGAGTTTTTTGACTACCACTCACTACTTTGTGACCGTCAATATGGCTTCAAGAAAGGTTACTCTGCTGCTGATCTGTTGCTAAACCTCTCCATTAAATGGCACCAGTCACTGGATGAATCCAAAGTCAGCTGTATGGTAGCACTAGACATTGCTGGCGCTTTCGACTGAGTGTGGCACCAGGGCCTCTTGGCAAAGCTGCAAGCACTGGGAATTGCAGGCTCTACGCTATGTATCCTCAGTGATTACCTTCATGGTAGACATCCTATTGGGGCAAGTCTTCCACAAGGAAGAGTGCTGGGACCATTGCTATGGAATGTTTACTTCAATGACCTTCTTCATCTCATCCCAGAATCCCATGCATATACAGACGACTGTACTCTGATATTCACTTATCCAAGAGAAGAAATGCCAGCTGCTCTAAGCTACATCAGTCACCAGCTAAGAGCTATATCAGCTTGGGGAAACAGATGGCAAGTAACATTTGCACCTTAGAAAACACAAATGGGAGAGTGTTGGTACCTGGGGAAGAAGTTGATATCCTTGGGTAAAATTTGACTCCAAACTGACCATGAAGAACCATGTTGTAAATCTTGCAAACAAGGCAGACAGGAAGCTTACAGCACTTCGCTGTATCTCGCATCTGCTTGGCAGTAGGGGTTGCAAGATTCTGTTTGAGGCACAAGTACGCTCACACCTTGAGTATGCTCCACTTTCTTGGTTTGCCTGCCCACCCTCTCATCTGCGACTGCTTGACAGAGTAGAGAACAGAGCAAGACGTCTCATCTCTCGCCTGGACCCATCCTGGATAGAACTGTCATTTCAGCAGAGCCTTCAACATAGGAGGGATGTGGGTGGCCTTACTGTTATGTACAAGGCCAATATTGTCAAAGTACCACACTTGGATCCACTTCGAGGACAACGTGAAACAAGCTTTTATGCCACAAGACGGGCAGCCAGCAGCAACTTCACTCTGGCTGTACTCTTCTCCAGAACATCACTCCATCTGAGATCATATATACCCAGGATGACTCGAGTATGGAACACATTCGTACAGCATAATGATGTCAACGAGATAAAGTCAGTTGATCAGATGAAAATGCTGACCCACAGATGGCTCCAACTTCATCCTGTTCCCTACTTGTATGTCTCATAACAATAAAAATGCTTTCAAATGAGCTGATGTAGGTAACAGCTCTTAGCTTGCCAGTAAAGTTAGGAATCCTTAACCTGTAAATAGCTGTCAATAAAGCTAGGGATCCTTAACCTAACCTCGTCAAACCCTGTGTAAGAAAACAAGAGAGAAAGAAAGAGAGAAAGAGAGAGAGAGAGAGAGAGAGAGAGAGAGAGAGAGAGAGAGAGAGAGAGAGAGAGAGAGAGAGAAGAGAGAGAGAGAGAGAGAGATAGAGAGAGAGAGAGAGAGAGAAAGAGAGAGAGAATGTGGCAGATGATTCAGGTTTAACAGACCGGGATAATTGAGTGTATATAACAAGCATATCGGACGTCAAGGTGCGTAGTTTATGTGAGAAATCTATCAATTTCTCCCTGGGTTATAGTCTCTCTCTATCTATTTCTCTCTCTTTACACAGGGTTTTACAAGGTTAGATTGCTTTGTTTACACGCTAATAGCTGTTACCTACATCATTTAAAAGTGTTTTTTATTATTGTGATACAAACAGATAGGGTATAGGATGAAGTTGGAGCCATCAGTGGGCCTATCTGATATATTAAGCAAATTTCTATAATTTGCTTGTGACAGTTAAGTGAAGTGTAGATATAAATCCAAATATACACCTGTTAACCCTTTTAGGCCCTAGTTCCTAGGCCTATTGTGTATCCATATGTTCTTGCACTACCCTCCACATGATGGATATGGGGTGCACAATAAACTAGCCACTTCGGTGGCTGAGAGACGACACAATAAGTGTCAGGGGCCCAAGACTGTTCAACTGCCTCCCAGCATACATAAGGGGGGATTACCAATAGACCCCTGGCTGTCTGGCACCTAAAGTCAGTATCTGACCAGCCGGGCTTTGGTTCGTACGTCAGTTTACGTGCGGTCAGCAGTAAAAGCCTGGTTGATCAGACACTGATCCACCACGAGGCCTGGTCTCAGACCTCGCCGCGGGGGTGTTTACCCCCGGAACCCTCTCCAGGTATTCTCCAGGTAATCAGTGGGCCAACAATTTCTCTCTCTCCCTCCCCCCATCTACGGTAGTTAACCTCGTTACCTTCTGACTGGTTGTTCAGGTAACTAGGGTCATAACAGTACCACACACACTGTAATTAGATCCTCACCTCACCATTCATGGTCACGACCCTGCAAGACAATTTCCACTGTTTATTGAGTTTTCTCGTTTTTTTTTTCTTTGTCCGCCCTTGCTAGTGTTCTACTTACCTTATTAGTGTGGGATTATGTTGTCGTCCCGTAGCTGGGTTGGTGGCGCACTCGACTCACACACTGAGGTTTGTGGTTCGATCCCGGGTACGGGGGAGAAGTATTGGGACGTATTTCCTTAAGACACTTGCTGTCTCTGTTCACCTAGCAGTAAGTAGGTACCTGGGTGTTAGTAACCTTACACCTGCTGTCACTGTCTCACCTAGCAGTAAGTAGGTACCTGAGTGTTAGTCACCTTACACCTGCTGTCACTGCTCACCTAGCAGTAAGTAGGTACCTGGGTGTTAGTCACCTTACACCTGCTGCCACTGTTCACCTAGCAGTAAGTAGGTTCCTGAGTATTAATCACCTTACACCTGCTGCCCATTTCTCCTAGCAGTAAAATAGGTACCCGAGTGTTAATCACCTTACACCTGCTGTCACTGTTCACCTAGCAGTAAGTAGGTACCTGGGTGTTAGTCACCTTACACCTGCTGTCACTTCACCTAGCAGTAAGTAGGTACCTGGATGTTAGTCACCTTACACCTGCTGTCACTGTTCACCTAGCAGTAAGTAGGTACCTTGCTGTTAGTCACCTTACACCTGCTGTCACTGTTCACCTAGCAGTAAGTAGGTTCCTGAGTGTTAATCACCTTACACCTGCTGCCCATTTCACCTAGCAGTAAAATAGGTACCCGGGTGTTAATCACCTTACACCTGCTGCCCATGTTCACCTAGCAGTTAAATAGGTACCTGGGTGTTAGTGGACTGGTGTGGGTGGCATCCTGGGGACAAAACTGACCTAAGTTGCAGGAAATGCTCAGCATAACAAGGAGCTTTCTATATAGCAGTATGTCATTGGTGTCGAGCTATGGTCTGTGTAAGTTGTATCATGCACTGGTAGAAATAAAGATTATTATTATTATTATTCCCCTCAAGGAAGGTTCCTTGATACTGGTGAGGGGCTCTTGATCTAGTGAATTGGATCTGTGCTCCAGTTCCCCAAATTAAGCCTGAATACCTTCCACATCCCGCCCCCCACAGGCGCTGTATAATCCTATGGGTTTAGCGTTTACCCCTTGATTATAATAATAATAATAATAATTATTATTATTATTATTATTATTATTTAATTAATTAATTCGGTGGTTTAGCTCACTAAATGTTTGGTTTTTATTTCGGTACAATAGTCAAAGTTTAGACTATTTTCGAGTGTTATTATTTACTTGTTATAGATATAAGGGTCTCAAGCTGTACCTTGGTATTAAGGGTCTCCAACTGTGAGCCGTAACTTTGTTTATCTATGTCCCTTCTCTCTCTCTCTCTCTCTCTGAGTATACAAGAATAAAACATGTTATCAAATTAACAGACATTTATTTACAAGGTTCTAACATTATTTAGATTTTAGGATAACAGTAACAACTACACACCTACATAAAATACATAACTTGGACTACAAAACTGTAGTTACGAGGGTTGATACTGTAGTTTGTCTGAGGGCAGCACCAGCCATGCCCACCTCAGCTATGTAGTTTACTGTCTGAGGCAAGCACTCAGTCATGCCACAGCCACGTAGTTTACTGTCTGAGGGCAGCACCAGTCATGCCCACAGCCACGTAGTTTACTGTCTGAGGGCAGCACCAGTCATGCCCACAGCCACGTAGTTTACTGTCTGAGAGCAGCACCAGTCATGCCCACAGAACGTAGTTTACTGTCTGAGGGCAGCATCAGTCATGCCCACAGGCACGTAGTTTACTGTCTGAGGGCAGCACCAGTCATGCCCACAGTCACGTAGTTTACTGTCTGAGGGCAGCACCAGTCATGCCCACAGCCACGTAGTTTACTGTCTGAGGGCACACCAGTCATGCCCACAGCCACGTAGTTTACTGTCTGAGGGCAGCACCAGTCATGCCCACAGCCACGTAGTTTACTGTCTGAGGGCAGCACCAGTCATGCCCACAGCCACGTAGTTTACTGTCTGAGGGCAGCACCAGTCATAGCCCACAGCCACGTAGTTTACTGTCTGAGGGCAGCACCAGTCCATGCCCACAGCCACGTAGTTTACGGTCTGAGGGCAGCACCAGTCATGCCCACAGCCACGTAGTTTACTGTCTGAGGGCAGCACCAGTCATGCCCACAGCCACGTAGTTCACTGTCTGAGGGCAGCACCAGTCATGCCCACAGCCACGTAGTTTACTGTCTGAGGGCAGCACCAGTCATGCCCACAGCCACGTAGTTTACTGTCTGAGGGCAGCACCAGTCATGCCCACAGCCACGTAGTTTACTGTCTGAGGGCAGCACCAGCATGCCCACAGCCACGTTAGTTTACTGTCTGAGGGCAGCACCAGTCATGCCCACAGCCACGTAGTTTACTGTCTGAGGGCAGCACCAGTCATGCCCACAGCCACGTAGTTTACTGTCTGAGGGCAGCACCAGCCATGCCCACAGCCACGTAGTTTACTGTCTGAGGGCAGCACAGTCATGCCCACAGCCACGTAGTTACTGCTGAGGGCAGCACCAGTCATGCCCACAGGCCACGTAGTTTACTGTCTGAGGGCACCACCAGCCATGCCCACAGCCACGTAGTTTACTGTCTGAGGGCAGCATCAGTCATGCCCACAGCCACGTAGTTTACTGTCTGAGGGCAACGCCAGTCATGCCCACAGCCACGTAGTTTACTGTCTGAGGGCAGCACCAGCCATGCCCACCTCAGTTAAGCCATGATAGAAGAACGAAGACACAGCTCTGAACATGTCTAGAAGGCTGTAAGGACAGGCAGGATACAGTCTCTCACAGTCTCCCTTCCTCCGCCCTGAGTCCTCGGCTGCTATGTAGTCCTCCAGCTCCTGGGACCTGCTGCCGTACCCAGCGCTGAAGATCAAGTTTGAAGGTTACAACATAATTACAGATATTGATGTGGATAATAATAAATTCTGTTATTACTACTATTTACTAATAATAATAATAATAATAATAATAATAATAATAATAATAATAATAATAATAATAATGAGAGAGAGAGAGAGAGAGAGAGAACAAATGCTGTACCTGAAGAAGAGATTGATGACCTCGCCAGTGATGCCCAGGTCACTGATGGGGTCATCAGCGACCTCACACACCGCCCGCAGCACACAACCACGCCCATCCACGCCCACGCTGCAAAACCCATATATATATATATATATATATATATATATATATATCGCTTGCCACGCCCATAAGGGTTTAGCGTTAGTTTGCACTAAGATGTGCTTCATGACAGCCTCACTATGGTGCATAAAAATATACATAACTGCAAGAATTTTATTATAGGCAACTGGCCCAGTGGTTAGAGCACTGGCCTGTTAATTTTAGCACTCAATCGCCATGGGTTCAAGCCCACTCGTTCCCTGGTCTGATAAGCTCAGTTTAAGGTGAAATTTTGTGGTACGTGTGCGTGACGTTCAGAGGAAGTAATCACGGCCAGTCAGTAATACATTCTTACTTATCCATTAACTGCTGCAGGAAATTGTATCCAGTGATCCTGTTCTCATCGAGGGCCCTGCCCGTCCTGCCGGATGGCTCGTAGGACATGTAGGAGGAGGAGGTGGTGCTGGAGGTACGTGGGGTGGTGCTGGAGGTACGTGGGGTGGTGCTGGAGGTACGTGGGGTGGTGCTGGAGTTGGAGGCTGGACGTCGTGTCGACTGATCTCGTCTCTTGAACATAAGAGTAGCGTTGGGTAGCTTCAGGTCGATGGGGAAGGCATACAACATACTCCCTACTGTGTGGATGAAAAGGGTAAGGGGTAAGTAGGTACGTAGGTAAGTAGGTTTATTCAGGTATAAGTACACATAAGTACAGTTATATAAATTATCGGTGTGATAACTATAGAGAAGACAAATCCAAATGAGTTGCGCATATGTGTATTATTTTCTTATTTAAAGCCATTGGAACAAATGTTATCCTGTACTTGCAAAGGTTACACTGTTCCACTTTACGAATAAATCCAGCTTATGAAAAAAATATTTAAAAAATGGTACAAGAACATTACTGTAAATAGATTTGATTCTGGTGAAAGAATTTGCAAAAAGGCACAAATTCTTGGCGTTTCCTCTCTGTGTGGAGGTTCATCAAGTCATGTTTCACTGTGTGGAGATGTATCGTCATGTTTCACTGTGTGGAGATGTATCGTCATGTTTCCTTGTCTCAAGTTTTATCAAGTCATGCTTCCATCTCTGTGGAACTTTATCGCGTCATACTTCCGTCTGTGTGTAGCATTATCGAGTCGTGCTACAGCTCGACACACCGAATCGTCGTCGTCTCTCGGACGCACTCGTGGACAACACTTGTCATGCTCCACAGTTCGTTTAACATCTTCATTATGCACTCCATACCCATCCTGTGGGTGGTAGTCAAAAAGATTACAGATTGTACTGTAGTGGATCCGTCGGTCTTGTACCGGCCCGGGTCTTTTCCATATTACAGAGGTACATAATGGGACTAAGGACTGGGTCCCAAAGTTCTGACAGATAAACAATTTACAAAGGTAATAAACTCTAGGACCTACACACAATGAAATATTCGTTTTCCCTGCGAAACCTGGTTTTGTAATATACCTTTCCTCTCACTGATTGGTCAGTTAATGGCGTCTAAAGCCCTTCGACTACACGAGGGTCATTAAGAGTGCATACAAGACAACTTTAATCCCTAAAACTGGGATTTAAGTCAACTCAACATATATAAGATAAGATAAGATTTCGTTCGGATTTTTAACCCCGGAGGGTTAGCCACCCAGGATAACCCAAGAAAGTGAGTGCGTCATCGAGGACTGTCTAACTTATTTCCATTGGGGTCCTTAATCTTGTCCCCCAGGATGCGACCCACACCAGTCGACTAACACCCAGGTACCTATTTGCTGCTAGGTGAACAGGACAACAGGTGTAAGGAAACGTGTCGAAATGTTTCCACCCGCCGGGAATCAAACCCGGGCCCTCCGTGTGTGAAGCGGGAGCTTTAGCCACCAGGCCACCGGGCCTCATGTAGTTAATGGCGTTTAAAGCCCATCAACTACACGAGGGTCATTAAGAGTGCATACAAGACAACTTTAATCCCTAAAACTGGGATTTAAGTCAACTCAACATATATACAGTTAGGGGGCATAGACCTCATGTATATCCCAGCATTTGTTCTTCCTGTAGATTATTTAGACCGTGATAGCACTTACTGATCAGTCCGTCAAACTGGCTGTAGAAGGGGATGAGAAGTCTGGGAGTGACCGCCAAGATTGATCCCGTTGGAAAGCTTAGGAAGCGACGCACCCGGCTGTGTGGTACCTGTAATTAAGGAAGGGACGCATGCGACTCTGAGGTACCTGTAATTAAGGAAGGGACGCATGCCGTTCTGAGGTACTTAGAACGCATCTCAGAGAGTCGTATCCAGATCCGGATTAATTTTAAGGGCTTGTATAGCTTTTGACATTAGCGTGTCCAAGCGCCTCGGGGCTCACAAAAACCACCTGCATACTAAACCCAATGTTCTGGCACACACATACACCACCTGCAGGCTAAACCCAGTGTTCTGGCACACACATACACCACCTGCAGACTACACCCAGTGTTCTGACACACACATACACCACATGCAGACTAAACCCAGTGTTCTGGCACACACATACACCACCTGTAGGCTAAACCCAGTGTTCTGGGCACATACATACACCACCTGCAGACTACACCCAGTGTTCTGGCACACACACCACCTGTAGGCTAAACCCAGTGTTATGGCACACACATACACCACCTGCAGACTACACCCAGTGTTCTGGCACACACATACACCACCTGCAGACTACACCCAGTGTTCTGGCACACACATACACCACCTGTAGGCTAAACCCAGTGTTCCGGCACACACATACACCACCTGCAGACTACACCCAGTGTTCTGGCACACACATACACCACCTGTAGGCTAAACCCAGTGTTCTGGCACACACATACACCACCTGCAGACTACACCCAGTGTTCTGGCACACACATACACCACCTGTAGGCTAAAACCCCGTGTTCTGGCACACACCCTACACACCTGCAGGCTACACCCAGTGTTCTGGCACACACACCACCTGTAGGCTAAACCCAGTGTTCTGGCACACACATACACCACCTGCAGACTACACCCAGTGTTCTGGCACACACATACACCACCTGTAGGCTAAACCCAGTGTTCTGGCACACACATACACCACCTGCAGACTACACCCAGTGTTCTGGCACACACACCACCTGTAGGCTAAACCCAGTGTTCTGGCACACACATACACCACCTGCAGACTACACCCAGTGTTCTGGGACACACACCACCTGTAGGCTAAACCCAGTGTTCTGGCACACACATACACCACCTGCACACTACACCCAGTGTTCTGGCACACACACCACCTGTAGGCTAAACCCAGTGTTCGGGCACACACATACACCACCTGCAGACTACGCCCAGTGTTCTGGCACACACACCACCTGCAGGCTAAACCCAGTGTTCTGGCACACACATACACCACCTGTAGGCTAAACCCAGTGTTCTGGCACACACATACACCACCTGTAGGCTAAACCCAGTGTTTTGGCACACACATACACCACCTGCAGACTAAACCCCGTGTTCTGGGGAACCACACACCACCTGTAGGCTAAACCCAGTGGTTCTGGCACACACATACACCCCCTGCAGCTAAACCCAGTGTTCTGGCACCACACATACACACCTGCAGACTACGCCCAGTGTTTTGGCACACACATACACCACCCGCAGATAAACCAGTGTTCTGGCACACACACCACCCGCCAGACTAAACCCCGTGTTCTGGCACACACATACACAAACCCGCAGACTAAAAACCCCGTGTTCTGGCACACACATACACCACCTGCAGACTAAACCCCGTGTTCTGGCACACAATTTCACCACCTGCAGACTAAACCCAGTGTTCTGGCACACACATAAACCACCTGCAGACTAAACCCAGTGTTCTGGCACACACATACACAACATGCAGACTAAACCCAGTGTTCTGACACACACATACACCACCTGCAGACTAAACCCAGTGTTCTGGCACACACATACACCACCCGCAGACTTTAAAACCCCGTGTTCTGGCACACACATACACCACCTGCAGACTAAACCCAGTGTTCTGGCACACACATACACCACCTGCAGACTACGCCCAGTGTTCTGGCACACACACCACCTGCAGGCTAAACCCAGTGTTCTGGCACACACATACACCACCTGTAGGCTAAACCCAGTGTTCTGGCACACACATACACCACCTGTAGGCTAAACCCAGTGTTTTGGCACACACATACACCACCTGCAGACTAAACCCAGTGTTCTGGCACACACACACACCACCTGTAGGCTAAACCCAGTGTTCTGGCACACACATACACCACCTGCAGACTAAACCCAGTGTTCTGGCACACACATACACCACCTGCAGACTACGCCCAGTGTTCTGGCACACACATACACCACCTGCAGACTAAACCCAGTGTTCTGGCACACACACCACCTGCAGACTAAACCCAGTGTTCTGGCACACACATACACAACCTGCAGACTAAACCCAGTGTTCTGGCACACACATACACCACCTGCAGACTAAACCCAGTGTTCTGGCACACACATACACCACCTGCAGACTAAACCCAGTGTTCTGGCACACACATACACCACCTGCAGACTAAACCCAGTGTTCTGGCACACACATACACACCTGCAGACTAAACCCAGTGTTCTGGCACACACATACACCACCTGCAGACTAAACCCAGTGTTCTGGCACACACATACACCACCTGCAGACTAAACCCAGTGTTCTTGCACACACATACACCACCTGTAGGCTAAACCCAGTGTTCTGGCACACACATACACAACGTGCAGACTAAACCCAGTGTTTTGGCACACACATACAACACCTGCAGACTAAACCCAGTGTTCTGGCACACACATACACCACCTGCCAGACTAAACCCCGTGTTTGGCACACACTACACAACTGCGACTAAACCCGTGTTCTGGCACACACATCACCACCTGCAGACTAAACCCAGTGTTCTGGCACACACATACAAAACCTGCAGACTAAACCCAGTGTTCTGGCACACACATACACCACCTGCAGGACTAAAACCAGTGTTTTTGGCACACATACACCACCTGCAGACTAAACCCAGTGTTCTGGCACACACATACACAACCTGCAGACTAAACCCAGTGTTCTGGCACACACATACACCACCTGCAGACTAAACCCAGTGTTCTGGCACACACATACACAACCTGCAGACTAAAACCCAGTGTTCTGGCCCCACACATACACCACGGGAGACTAAACCCCGTGTTCTGGCACACACATACACAACCTGCAGACTAACCCGTGTTCTGGCACACACATACACCACTGCAGGGCTAACCCAGTGTTCTGGCACACACATACACCACCTGCAGACTAAACCCAGTGTTCTGGCACACACATACACAACCTGCAGACTAAACCCAGTGTTCTGGCACACACATACACCACCTGCAGACTAAACCCAGTGTTCTGGCACACACATACACCACCTGCAGACTAAACCCAGTGTTCTGGCACACACATACACCACCTGCAGACTAAAAACCCCGTGTTCTGGCACCACATACACAACCTGCAGACTAAACCCAGTGTTCTGGCACACACATACACCACCTGCAGACTAAACCCAGTGTTCTGGCACACACATACACCACCTGCAGACTAAACCCAGTGTTCTGGCACACACACACCACCTGCAGAACTAAAACCCAGTGTTCTGGCACACAATACACCACCTGCAGACTAAACCCCGTGTTCTGGCCCCCATACACCACCCGCAGGGCTAAACCCCGTGTTCTGGCACAACATACACCACCTGCAGACTAAACCCAGTGTTCTGGCACACACAAAACCACCGCAGACTAAACCAGTGTTCTGGCACACACATACACCACCTGCAGACTAAACCCAGTGTTCTGACACACACATACACCACATGCAGACTAAACCCAGTGTTCTGGCACACACATACACCACCTGTAGGCTAAACCCAGTGTTCTGGGCACATACATACACCACCTGCAGACTACACCCAGTGTTCTGGCACACACACCACCTGTAGGCTAAACCCAGTGTTATGGCACACACATACACCACCTGCAGACTACACCCAGTGTTCTGGCACAACCCTACACCACCTGCAGATTCACCCAGTTTTCTGGCACACACATTACAACCCCCTGTAGGCTAAAACCCAGTGTTCCGGCACACACATACACCACCTGCAGACTACACCCAGTGTTCTGGCACACACATACACCACCTGTAGGCTAAACCCAGTGTTCTGGCACACACATACACCACCTGCAGACTACACCCAGTGTTCTGGCACACACATACACCACCTGTAGGCTAAACCCAGTGTTCTGGCACACACATACAACCCGCAGACTACACCCAGTGTTTGGCACACACACACCACCTGTAGGCTAAACCCAGTGTTCTGGCACACACATACACCACCTGCAGACTACACCCAGTGTTCTGGCACACACATATACCACCTGTAGGCTAAACCCAGTGTTCTGGCACACACATACACACTGCAGACTACACCCGTGTTCTGGCACACACACCACCCGTAGGCTAAACCAGTGTTTTGGCACACACATACACCACCTGCAGACTACACCCAGTTTTTCTGGGGCACACACACCCGTAGGCTAAACCAGTGTTTGGCACACACATACCACCTGCACACTACACCCGTGTTCTGGCACACACACCACCTGTAGGCTAAACCCAGTGTTCGGGCACACACATACACCACCTGCAGACTACGCCCAGTGTTCTGGCACACAACCCCACCTGGGAGGCTTTAAACCCAGTGTTCTGGCACACACATACCCACCTGTAGGCTAAACCCAGTGTTCTGGCACACCAAAACACCACCTGTAGGCTAAACAGTGTTTTGGCACACCAAACACCACCTGCAGACTAACCCGTGTTCTGGCACACCAACACCACCCGTAGGCTAAAAACCCCGTGTTCTGGCACACACATACACCACCTGCAGACTAAACCCCGTGTTCTGGCACACACATACACCACCCGCAGACTACGCCCAGTGTTCTGGCACACACATACACCACCTGCAGACTAAACCCAGTGTTCTGGCACACACACCACCTGCAGACTAAACCCAGTGTTTGGCACACACATACCCCAACCTGCAGACTAAACCCAGTG